AACGACGAATTCGTGATTTTAAATACCAATTTTCATTATCCGAAAGAATTTTATCGTTATCACCATTGATTTACACTTAGTATTGGCATGTCCTTATTAAATTCAGTAATACTACTTTTTGACTCCACAGTCCACTGACGTAGTACAGCAACGAGGAAGCTAATAGCCTGTTGGGGTTCAGGGCAATCAGGTTCTACTAAAATGTTGGCCACACTAGCGTCCAAGTTGCAGTAATACCATGTACTAGGAAAGTACTTTGCTTTGTTCAACAATGCCAGTTTACTAGGAAAGGACATTTTTTAGCAGCAACACCTAGGATTCCAACCATTGATTTTGAGATTGTTGAACTGTGTGGATGCATGGTAACTACTGAATCAACTAAGCAGGTGGTTTGTGGTTGAATGTAGTTCACAATGATACGTACATGAATCAGGTGTGATTGTCATTGGCCATTTATACAAAAGGAGTAAGATAACGCATGTATGCTGTGACAACATGCAATGGGGCTGCAGAAAAAAAATTTAAAACTCAAATTCATGGTATTTCTCAAGTCAGGCAATGTCGCATACGACTTGTTTACCACTTCCGTGTGACTGAGAATGTTCTAGAACCGTACTGTGTCTGGGTGGAATTTTTAGAAGTTGGTTGAATAGGTAATAGGGCACTGTAGAAGGTAATGGAACATTCTAGAAATTTGTAGTAAGTTCCAGACTCATTATGTATGCTGATGTAATGGTCTATTTATAGACAGTGTGGGTATATATAGGGGAGTTGTTCAGCACTGAGTTCAGATCGGAGATCTCGTTGAATTGTATTGGAGTTTAAGCTTCTAGTTATTGGAGTAGTGGAGTTTTACCGCGTTATTGTACTTGATGTTTGCAGAGTATAATAATACCAGTACCAGTTGAAACCTCATCTGTTGGCTCAGTGTTCGTATTTTATCATCGCCGCCAGGGACGTCTTTTTGTTACTGTTGCCATTTTGGTATTTGAACCATCACACCTGTACTATACCAATTACGGTAATATTACGTTGCGTGTGACAGGCAACTCAGAAGCTTAAGGTAGTTCGCAGCCTGTTTTGGTTCATAGAGTTTCAGACGTTTATTAGAACCTCAACCCCAAATGAGCTGTTGACTACTGTTAGCATCCTCATAGCTGTGCTTTAACCCTCATCTGGTCAAGTCAATGTCAAAATATTTGTGGCTCGCAGGATAAGGGATAAAGTGCAGTGGTCATGCATACGCACATGTCCTTTAACTATTAGTAAATATAAATAGACACAAAAATAAACCCACAACTTCAGTATATCAGCATTAATTTTTAATTTTTCACAAAAAAGTTGTACAATTGCAATTAAAATATTTTGCATTCCATGAAGGAATACTATCTTTAGAATCAACCAGTAATTTGAGTTTTAGTCAGGCAACAATAAACTATTTTAAAGCGCCACATGGTAAAAATACAGATGATCACATGTAACTATTAGCGCACACCAAAAACAGAATAAAGCAAATACAGTCAGAGTCGCATAGATGATGGATGAGCTTGATTTCCTGAGTACACCAAATACTGGATTTTCAAACCTGACAATATATTACAAGATTTCCAATATGGCACCTACAACAATAAAACAAATACATATGATATGATACAGTATTTACTCCATTAGTAGCGCATATGTTTATGTAAATTACATTGTAATTAGGTGTTTCTATGGCCAAAAGTAGTAATAATTTTAATGTTGTTTAATGTTTATACATACTTCTATTAGAAATGTGGTAGCATTTCACTGCATAAAGCTTTCACAATAAAAAAAAAAAATTGCGGGG